GATTTTCCCTTCTTGACCATGTTGATGGTAACTTCTGGGAATTCATCATCTCGAGCAACCGATCCTCTTTGGTGGAAACACCTTGATTTGGGCTTCGTCGTTCCATCGGAGATCCTCTCGAATATCGAGACCCTCTGTGGAGCGGTCTTGGGATAGCTACACGCTGATAATACTGTCCTGATAATTTTGATACACGGACAATGAGAGTCCGCTTCCTGGGTACTTCTCTTTCGAGATTTATTCTTACCCCCAGCCTGATAGTACAACTCATCGACGTTGCGGTCGGAGTAACCTATCGGCTGCTTACATGGATTCTCAGGTATAACGCGTTCGTCTGTCTGAAGCGTTTTCCTCTGAGTAAACATTGCCTTGTTGGCATCTACTGGAGTCGCACTTTTGGAATCACACCCTTGTGAGGGTGGAACCTTAACGGGCTCCTGGTTTTCTGCACGTACCTCCAAGCGGGCTATTGTAGAAATTGATTTGTTAGGAGGTCGCGTACGACCCCCAGTCCGGATGTTTGCTCGAAGCTCCTTTAACGGTCTCCAGTTTTCCTTAACAAGCGCTTTTCCTCGATTCTCGGGTAGGGCGCCGACACAATCCTTCAATGGGATTCTAGATTTGGGGAGATCCACACTATCATAGAGCTTCACCGGAAGTACGGGAGCAGGGTCTGGAGTTGACGAAGGCCAGAGAGCATCGTCGCCTGCTTTTGCCTTAGGCGCTGATTTGGCCTTTGGCATCCAGACTTGCTTAGATCTTGGTGGTTTTTTGACCACCTTTTCCTTCTGCAATTCCTGTGCCTTCCGTACAAGAATCCTCGTCTGCGCTAACAGTGCGCGGCGCTTATGGATGCGCTCCTTAAGAGTTGAACGTGTTCGTTTGACACGAACCCATTCATTAGTAGGTGGTTGGGAGGAGGTTCTCAAAGCTTGTTGCTGGAACACTTTGCGCCTTCTGCGTTTCAGATCCGCATCATAACAGATCCCGTCAACAGGCTCCAAAGCCTTGGCAAATTGATGCGCGAGATGTTGACGGCGCCTTTGACGAGCCCTCTTCGTCAACACTGGTGCACTTTCAACGGGCAACTCCTTGACTTTCGAGGAGTTGTCACGAACGTTGGATCTGGTTTCTTTGGAAGCCGGTGGATCGTTGTCATATAATATGATTACTTTAGTAAATAAATTATAATAATGTATATATAAATATTAATAATAGTAACAGTATTTAATAAATAAAAACAATAGTATATATGGATCTATACAATATTTATAGGTAATGAATATGACATATCATAATTATATAATATATCTATGTAATAAATAATATATTATTATAAAGAAAGAAATTTTAATAAAAAAACAATATTTGCTAAACAATGTTAATGTAAAAAATAGTATTCATGATAATATATTATTATATCATAATATCCTAATATAGTTATTTAAGTACTAATTAATAACCTAACATAATAAAAACTATATATCATTATATAATATATTAATTTATTGAATAACATACTAGTAATTAACATAATATTAATCGTTTTGAAGTATATATCTTATATTAATAATACCGATAATATGATTAATAATAAATAAATTAGGCTTCGGCAGCGAAGCTGTTGGCTCCCACTGTGGTCGCCAGTTTGTTCGTTTTCGCCGTAACTTCTTCATCCGAACTCGGATTTAAACGATTCAAAGTGCGTTGGAAAGTCGGCGAGGAGTTCTATAAGCTCCAATGATTAGATCATCTGTGGAATAAATGAGACACGAAGGGCATTTCGTCTTTTGTAAGTAACACGGGGCTCCCGATCAGTTCGTATCTTTATTCTGAAACTCCGCTGCTTCACATAGTTTGCCGATTCACTTCAAGCGTTCGTCGACGTTAATCAAGCTTCTATGAACCAGATGGTGACGTTCATCGTATTCTCTTAGCTTTGAGCTGTTCGTAGAGACCTATAGGCAATTTTCGATGCCTACAGTACTGGGCATAGATAATAAGTACTAACTAAAGTTAACAGGTACCAAATATAGTTAACATGTACTGGATATAGTACTGGCTAAAATTAACATGTACTAGATATGACGACCCAAAATGTAACAAAATGAAATCAATGGATAGTCATTTTAATTGAGTTCTATTTTAATTTTGTTTCATTTATATAGATATAAACAATTTCATAATTTTCATAATGAGATTAATCTATATTCTAACTATTGAATTCAACATACGCCAAGTTATCTGGTTGAAGCAAAATAACAAACACATTGTGTGTGGTTCTAACTAAACGCAACCATAACACCTAAAAACATCTCACATGCAAAAAAATTGTACTCAACTAGTCCCATAACCAGTTCATCAAATCACATTAACTTCATCAAAGAAATAATCAAAATTTTCATTTTTGAGGGCACATCTCATAGCATTTCCTCAAATACTTAGCATTCATAAATTTTTAGCTCAAGTAATATCATTTTAACTTGCAGGCCAACCATTCACCTCACAAGCATTTCAACAAACAACACATACATCCTAAAACCCTCATTATACTCCTCGTACTCCTTCATTACCCACTAGATCTGAGCCCTAACCCTGACATTCACCTCCTAGCCACCTTCTACGCCTCTTACATGTGACACCCCTAGTTTACTTCTATATGGACTATTGTGAAGTAATGTTAGTGGTTTATATAGAGAAAAGCCCAAGACCCAATGATAACTAATGCTAGCATTTTGACAGTAGATTTTAGCCAACATTGAGTTGCTTTCGGTGAGTTTCATGGCTTGCTCGCGCCAATGGGCCCGTGGGCCCGAAGTGTGATATTACAGACCACCCTCCATCACCAAATTCATCCATACCCCCTCATAGTCTTCCTTTATTTATTTTCCCTCACGATGGCCCTCACTGGCTTGATGAGCTCGACCTTTCCATCATTCTTTCCTACTCCTTCTCTATGTTCCTCTTTGTCCATCTTGTTGATTGCCTCTCCTCTTCCTCTAAGCCTTCTAAACGTTTGCCTAAGATGACGGGGTGGGAGGGTACGCTCATGGTGGAGAGGAGGTGGGAGAGGGAGACGACAGGGTCGGCGATCTCAGTCGACGGTCTCAGTTGACTGAGATCGCCGATCGTCGCTGCTCGCTGCTGCTCGAGCGTAGTGGTAGGAAATCTAGGGCTTTTCCTTAACAACGCATTTATGAATTATGAGAGACGAAGGCTTGCTGCCAGCGCTTCACTTGGGCTCCATTTGGATACCATGGTGTTTTACTTGTTTCCATGGAGTTTTTGCCAAAAATAAAATATCATGTGTTTGGAAACCATGGTGTTTTTTGAGCTAAATCATCCTCAAACCAAAAACACAACACTTATTTCAAAACACATTTTAGGTGTTTTGGTTTTGAGTTTGAGAAAATGTTAATATAATATCTAATATAATATATTAAATGTAATTAATATAGAGTTATTATCAACATGCTTATTTTATTATACTATACTATACTATATTATAGTTAATTTAATATATTAGTAATATTTATTAAATAATATAAAAATATAATAAATAACATATCTTATATAATAATATAATAACATATTAAATATCAATATTTAATATGTTAATAATGTGTTATATAATAAATATAATAATAAAATATAAATAAACTAATAAAAATAATAAAAAGTTTTTGATAATAAATAATAATATAATAATGATATAATAATATACTATACAATAGTATAATCATATAATATTATTAACTTTTAATAAATAAATTATAATAAATTAATAATTATAAAATATTATATAATAGTAACATATTTAATAATAACATAACAATATAATAATATGATTATAATAATATATTTTTATGGCTAAACTGTAATCTATCAATATATGTAATATATTAATATATTATGCTTAATAAATAATATAATGTATGTATAAAGTAAAATAAATTTTTACATAATTGACGAATTAATTGCCGTAAACAAATGTTAATGGTAAAAAATAAGTATAGTTTCATGATATAATAATATTTATTCTATATCATAACATGACTAATATCTATCTTATTAAAGTGACTATTAATAAAACTCACTAACATATTAGAAAAACTATAATATACTATATATCAATTTATATTAACTTTACTTAATAACCATACTTAAGTAATAACATTAATTATTTAACGGCTTATTAATTAATTTTATATTATATTAATGAATACCATAATATTGTATTTAATGGAATAAAATAAAATTATTTAGAAATATTAATATAATATACAAAAATAACAAATTGATATACCTAAATAATTAAATATATAATTATTTGAAAATAATATGTAATTATTATAATATAATAATAATTATATATAATATAACTTATTAAAATATAATATAATTTTATAATACATTATATAATATTATATTGCATTACATTAAATATTTATAATGCTATAATATAATAATGTAAACTAAATATTATAACATTTTATTTATAATATATTTTATTATAATTAATATATAAAATATTAATAATATGTTTAATACTACTGTTATAATTTGTCAAACTAGTGTTGACAAAAAATACTTATCATGGTGTTTTGAAAACATTTTAAGAGAAAAACACAGCACCATGATATTTTTTTTACAAAAACACAATAAGAAAAACACTATGGTATCTAAACGAAACCTTGGTTATTGGGTCCATGGGTTGATGTTTGTGTTATACGGGTCAGTTCCGGTCAACCCAAATTGGCCCATTTAATAAATGGGTCAGTTGGGATTGACCCGTTTATGACTCGACGCATGTAATTCGATCTATACCCATTATAAATGGGTCGGGTCGGATCGGATCGAATTGATGGGCCGATTCGATCTATACCCATTATAAATGGGTCGGGTCGGATCGGGTCGGATTGATGGGCCGGGTCATATATTGCCACCCTAGGTCCGCCCCCATTAAATCCTAGCTGTTCTATTTCCAAATTGAGAGTTCACTTGGAACTCGATCGAATTAGGAAACCCTAGATTGCCGCGGGCGGTGGAATCGAAATTATCGAATTTGGTATTCAATTGATGCCGCAACGAGGTAAAACTTGTTCTGATTTTTTAAGAATCCTTTCGTTCTTTCTCTCCCCCTTTAACTAGAAGCTCGTAAAACAATTGATGATGAAAATTCGCACGCTTTTAAAAACTTAGGAGACGTGATGAACAAGAAGCGCGTCAACTCATCAGGAGGAGATGAAGATGGCCCCAACAAGAAACAAGGAATCACTGGAAAGAAAGAGAACAAAACTCAGGTACTCATCATCTTTTTATTATTCTACTAATACTAAATTGATGATGATAATTATGGTTTTAAAATTAAAAGATTTGTGCGTAGAGCCTGCAACAAAAATTGAAACGGGTTGCTGCCGCCCATGCTTACCACTTGACGTTGTGCGTGACATTCTCTCAAGACTGCCTGCAAAATCAATTGCAAGATTCCGCTGCGTCTGCAGGCAATGGCTTTCTCTGACTTCTGATCCCCGTTTCTTGAAATTGCAGCACGAGAGATCTTCGAGCTGCATGCTTATCAGTAGGATTGTTTACAAGGGAGAAATAAACTTGTTTGAGTTCAGAAACGGGTATAGGAGTTCGCACGGATTTAATCTCGGGAGAGCGCATTATGAGCTG